AACAAATGGTGGTCAACGGGAAAAATTTCCCGCCGCTCAGAAAATTTTTATCAAAAACAGGTACAACCCCTCTCCCCAGAAGTATGACCCCGCCGAATAGGATCTCTTAGGATACTGTGTCATGATCGATAGAGCATGCACTGAGAGCAACGCCTGCTGATTCTAGCCAGCTATCCGTCGAAATGGTGCGCCTAACCGTCCTCAAATGTTTTCGGGCAGGAATGTCGATAAAAGCCCCGATCAATTGTTGGAGCGACTGGGAATATATTGGCCGTGATGGTGAGAATAAAGACGTTTCATTGTTAGCGGAGGATAGCGCGATTCTCAAGGTACTTGCGCAAAACGGCGACATTTCCAAGCGTTGTATCGTATCATCACCATTCGAGGAACGGCAATGACACACTAGGGAGATTCTAAGCCTTTTTTCATCACGAAGGGTTGTTATCGCAGTATGTGTCATAACCAAATTTTACGCGCAGTCTAGTAAACTGTATCCCCGCCTGTTTTTCCAAACTTATTTAATCAATTCCACCCCACTGGAGAGAAACTGTCGCGAACCCGTCAAGGAAAAGGGATAGCACTGACCTGTTGGATTGGGTTCTTCATCAAGCGGTTGCCTTAGAATTCGCATGCATTTCTCGGTATTGCCAAGTCGATGCAGGAGATCGGCAAGTTTCAGACGCATTCGCTTATCTTTCGTCGAATTCATCACCGATTCGTAGAAATTTACTGCCTAAAATTAGTTTCAACGACAGAAGCTCTGAATCAGGGGTTCAAAGCAGAAAAATTAGGTCACCTTTGAGTAAAGATGGCACAGGACGTAGGCTTCACCGATTTTCTCTGTCAACGCCATGTCCTTACTTTGCATTTTCAGCGCCATCTCATACACCTCAATGGCTCGGTCGGGCTGCAATTATATCATCTATTTCGTTGATATACATCGTTTCAGGGCTGACTCTTAAGAATGTTCCGTGCTCTCCGTGCAGTGCAGGAGATGTGTACCGAGAAGAGGGAGGCGCATTTCCAAGTGGAGAGGATCGCAGGTGTGATTGGAGGCACTGTACGAGGCGTGGAGAAAGCTGGAAGTTGTGTGTTGGGGCCGGGGGTAACGCATTGCAGGGGAAAGGCGGTGCAGAGAGAACACACAGAAAACGATGCGTTACTAACTGAGTTCAGCTGCGCCATACAATGCAGGCCTCAGACCTGCCCAATTTGGACGTCCTGCATGGGTCCGGCTAGGTGGCAGAACCAAATGGTACACTCAGCGAAGCCTGCACAGACCACCTTGTGAAGATCTGAGAATTACTGTACTAAAGTGGACTCACATGCACAGTTCCCGGAGTAGATTCAGCTCCCATTAGGTGATACACTGCTAGTTATATATGAACTAGCAAAAGGAAGTAACGACGTGTAGATCACCTTCCTCATCAACCAAACTAACAAGTGGCAGGCATCGTGTGTGCGAGTAGGGTGGATGTGTCAGTACGAACCCCCCACCCCCCCACTTGAAGAGGGTCTCGGTACGACCGCCCCTTCCTATAAAATCCAGCTTCTTACCAGTCTTCCCGAAACTCCCGTATTTGCCAGTTTTTCACCCAAAAATTATCTGTCGAGGGAGGGGAGGGAAAATGGTCAGAAACCAACTACTATCACAACTATCGGAAATAGTAGTTATAAAGATACTTTGGCTGCGCCACCAACTAGGGGGACGGCTGCACCCTGCCACCCAATGACACTGTCCCAGCCGACAGCCGGAAGGTCAATGATGACGAACTGGTAAGGGTGCAGCTTTCAAAGTGTATCACAGGGGCCATCCCACAAGAGCTAATTAGTTAGCACCATGCTCCTCCAGGGAGTACATAGATGCTCTGAATTGAAGGTAACCCTTTCTCTGTAGGTTTCCGCCTACTCCGGATGTTCGTGCGCAGGCACCTCTACTCGAAAATCGGAAACTGGGTGCACGGCGGTTCTCGAAGAGAAAATGTGCTTCAACACTCATCCCTTCAAACCTTGAGAATCAGCCTACCTCCTGAACACTCATATAAGCGTCACCAAGCAAGGCGTAAGTGGCTGCTGTTGGAGTGCTTTTCAACAGTTCCCTGAAATCATCCTCTATTCACATTAGGAGTCTCATACATAGTAGGTCTACCAGTTAATCAATACTCAGTTAAAAAAGCTGCTCTCACTGTAAAAAAAGTTATACGAAATTCATTTAGGAATCAGTAAAATCACTTGTAGCAAACCGTAAACATCATCTTGTCCCGTTTTTCTTCCAAATAAATTTCGGCCATTTTTATTCGAGCCGCGTAATAATTCGGTTGACCTGGTTGAACCTTAAAGGGGAACTGTGCCTCATAAGTTCAGTACCAATCAACATAACAAGTACTACCGTATTGAGGATTGCCAACGCTCCATCAACGTCGCCTTTTGAAACGTGCAACTGCGCATTCATTAAAAGCAGTTGCTGTTCTTCCGGTTTACCTTTCCATTGTTCGAGTGCTTCGCTCATCACTCGTTCAGCTTCATGCTGAAATCAACTACTGATTTTCGGATGAGGGTTTAATGTTCAAAAGTTCGCTGGAGAACAAGCGCTATAAATATAGTCGTTTTCGCTGCAGACGCTGGGGCGTGTTAGAGAGTTGGCTTTGGCGGATGCCCAATCCAATTGCTGTCGTATGCCACCTTTAACAATTGGTGAAGAACGGGTTGGCCCTATGCCAAATCCAGCCCCACTGACAGGCCCCCTCATCAGCAGAGAAAAGGGCCGTATTTCCTCCATTG